TTTTTTTTTTCAAATGAGTTTTGTCCTATATATGTGGTGTCTAGTGACATTTACATGTATTAAATAATAATAAATAATTATAATATTGTGCTTTTTATTCAAATGTAATTTTCTTATTTTCTATATGTTTGGCTCCGTGGGTGTTTATTGAAAAAATGCCACCACATCAGTGTTACATTGGTGTTGGTGTTTATTGTATATGAAACCACTGTCTGATTTTACTATTTATCAAACAAACACTAAAAAAGCTGAAATGCTTTAATTTATGTGCATAGGACATTAGGTGAGACGTCAAATTCATGTTTCCCCTCAATGCGTGGGCATTTCTTAAAATGAAATGCTGATCAGTTCACTTTACGTGAGGTGTAAAGCAACTTTATGAGGTGTTACTTGAAACACCTATAAAATGTCAAACCAAATAGAAAAGACAAAAAAAAAAAAAAACGTTTAAAGAAGCATTTTTCTTATAAATGTTTATCTAAATAAACGCTCACCAAACCAAGCATACACAAAATCAAATGCAAATGCAACAGCATTATACAAAACATCCCCATAATTTAGAGCCTTGTTTGATGTTTCAATAGTTTAACCCTGCATTCCAATTTGGGTTTCACAAAAGCTGGTATTCTCCCACAAATGTCATGAGACTGTACAAAGCATTTCCTTTCCAGCAAACCGATCTAATTGCACACAGCCCATCATATGCCCTTGAGCATAGCCTTTCTTTCAATAATAATCAATTTTTGCCTGGTTATAAACTCATCATAGCAGCCAAACATGCCCCTCTAATTATTTAGCTTCACGTTCCCATGAAAGCTGAAACTCTAGAGTCTGGACAAAGGATGATAAAAATTTGGTTTCCAACCCCACATTTGCAGAAAGGATAGTACGGCAACTTTATTATTGTGGGATTACAAAAATGGCCCATGGGCCTAGCTTACACCACCTTTTCTAAATAATAGTACCAGACAAACTTGAATATCCGAATGTTTTGATGCATATCCATGATTATGTTCCTTTGGGCAACAACATAATAATAAACTGTAGTTGTTGTTTGACAGATATTGCATTCTGGATGCATTAGGCCTCCAGAGCTAATCCGCATGCACCACCCTATTCTTTATTATAATGCTATATATATATTCTCCATTAAGACAGTTTCCCCTTCAGTAACTTAGTGAATTACTGAACTGGACAGCCATTTGTGCCCCAAATGGAAGAAGCCCATGTGCCATCTCTCTGACTTCTTCTTCTTCTTGTTTTGACCCTTTTTCAAGTGACAAGGCCGAGTTACAAAGTAAAACCCAAGTTTATAGAGGTGAGTTAGAGGACGATTTGGCCAAGAATAATCCTGCTGAACGTCTGAACCAGAGTTAAGCAGGCAATTCAGATGTAAACTGCCGAGGGCATGTGGTGTAACATGGCTGCATCATTGCATCATGGACAGCTTTACAAAGCATGGGCCCAAAAGCTAGAAAGTTGGGAAATGGTAGCCCAACAAAGCTGATGTTTAGGTTCTGAAACCCATACTCAATGGCTATCTTTAATTTGAGTAGTCAATTCATCAGCTCGTCGACATGCATGCGAGGGTCATGTTCTGCTTGATGGACCACCAATAGTCCAAGGTTTACACTGTTTGGGAAGTTTCAGTTGTCTGATCAATATAATATACCCATTTCTCTTGTCACAGTCCGGCAAGTTGCTAACCATTCAAACAACTGCCAATCCAAGAACAAGCATAATGTGCACCACAAATAATTAATGAAGAGTTAGATGTTCAATTATAGTGAGGAATCAAAGCCTATATACAGAAAATTAATCCCTAATCAACATGCAGTCAATGATGTTCAAAAATAAGATTAGGAACCATTTAATCCCCATCCTTTCAAAAAAAATACGAAATATGAAATATGCTCGACCAGAAATCAGTTAAAAAGGTTCCATACTTGACAGAAAACAGTTTAATCTTTGATCTTGGTTCAAGTTATTTTTTGGGTAAATTGCTGAAACCTCCCCTCAAGTTTCTGACCATTGAACTTTCTAACATAGTTGCAAGTAGATCTCCCTTGATTAAAATCCTGACAAGAGGCACGAAAATGTTCAAAATACCCATACATTTACCATTGAAGCTCAGTTTTACAAAAAAAAAAAAAAGAAAAAAGAAAGCAATGTAAATTTCATAAACAACAAAAAAAAGTGTTTAAAGTTGTAGTTTTACCTTCGAGCAATTGATATGAAGACAAAATTTGAAAAAATAAATCAATTTCGGAAAAGAGATTGGAAGGGTTCTGGGATAGCAATTTATATTAAGAGAAAATTTAGAAAATAAGCATCTACATCAAAAGCAACTGTATGAGTGTTTTGGACATTTTCATGCCTCTTGTTAGAGAATTCTAAGATAGGAGATCTACTTGCAACTATTAGAAAGTTCAGGGGAGGTTTTAGCAACTTACCCTTCTTTTTAATATTATTTTCTTTTGGGGTTATTATCTGAAACTCCCTCCACTTCCTAACAATCCTCTAAACTTACCCTTACTTTTTGATACCTTCATAGTGCCCCCCTATCAGACCTTCAGGCCGGATCCATTGAAATTTTAACAAAAGCCCGACCTGACCCCGCCCAAGTTGCACCCCTACCTGTTTACACATCCACTATCAAGTCAACATTAGTGAGCATAACAGAACTTTCCAAATGTGCCATTTTTTTAATCTATTAATGATAAAATTAGTCTTGGCCAACTAGTCTAAGTACCTTATTAACTAATTTCTGTATAACAAAAATATTCTTGATTTATTTCTCTCCCCTATTTCATTGCATGTTTTATATTTTCTCATCTCACAACTCACCCAAGCTTTATTGGCCTAGCAAGAGTTCAATTTGAGTAAATGAATGGACCTATATTTTTGAATGCTCCCCCTCAATTTGAGTTGAATTGAGAGACATCAGTGTAAGCTTGCAAACACCATTAGTTTTCTAATCATTTGAAAATATGCTTTTAAATTAAAGTGACCACATACCCCCTTACATGTGGGTTGATGGGCCTCTTTATCTGATGATGACTTGACAGCCATTTTTTACACCATCCGGCCCACAACAATTTTCATCAGTTCCACTAGATTGTCCTTAAAATATAAAACAATACCTAATAAAGCTGTAAAGCAGGCTCATCATTAGGTTAAATGAAGCTTAAAGAAGAATGGCATCCAAGAAACTCTATGTAGAAAAAAATACAATAATGGATTTCCAATTTTAGGTAATTTTCCTGTTTGGTAATTTAAATAAAAATTAAATTCAATTGCCTTTTCATATCACCTAATTATTTTCAAAATTTTTCCGGCCTTTTCATAGTGAAAAAATACACTTTAATTTGCATAGGTATGAGTTCAAATACTACCTGGTATATATTAAGGACATTATTGTATTTTAAAAGAACAAATAAGATATAAAGTGTTTAATGTCTTGATTGATGCTTTCTCGATTCTATCTATTAATGTTCTTGTTTGGTTATTTGTTGTTAATGGGCATTATAACTCAGCCTTGACCCATGCCCTTCTTTTGGAAACGAAATCTCATTCCTGTTGATTTTAATTCCTATTTTCATTCCTGTCTGAACCAAACAGACTATGAGAATAGACCATTCTAATTCAGATTTCAATTCCAATTATGAACCAGATGGACCCACCCTTAATTCTAGTAATGTACTCATCATTGGGTGGATCCAATGCTCTGATTTAAGAGAACAATTTGAAGATCCATGAACTAATGTGAATATGGACTTTAAGAGATTATGGACTTAGGCCCATCCACTGCGTCTATACCTTTTGGATATTGCTCCTCGATCTTCAATGTCGAGATGATTGAGAGAGGAAGACGAGAGGCCCCTTTTGGAACCCCCCCCCCCCCCCCCCCCCTAATTATTCACCACTTTTGGTGTATTGTGTTCATGGTTGTTTTCATATATCATCTGATTCACAATCACGCCAAAATAGAAATGAACATTTTGTAAGCTACTGCTGGTTCTGAAACCTGTAACGCATGATTCGAAAATCAGAAAAAAGGGGTATCTTTTGATCACAACGTTTTATAGTATATTTCAAACAATATCTATGCTATCATAATGCTTCTACTCAAAAATGACCTACAATCAAAAGTAAACAATGCGAGTACAACTGGGTTTCCATATCTCCATTACTCTGAGTTGGACTTCGAAATATAAAGATCTACACGACCAGGAAGCTAATAAAATTGAAATTGATTTTTTCCGTTTTCAATTTTATTAAAATGATAAAATCCTGATATGGCTTATTAATGAACTTTAAAAATTTAAGCTTAGTTTTCTTGATTTTGGTGCTTCCTTGAAATTGACTTTACAATTCCTGATTTTCTATTTTAAATCTAGCAACACCACATGATGTGTAATGAATGAGTAGTTCAGAGTGATGGATCCTCGTGATTATTTGTATTTGCCCAGTCATGTGTGGGTAGGGCTCTAAAGTCTAAACCAAATCAAATATTGTGGGTTCTGGCCCATGATTTTTTACACCATCTTTCAAATACTAAAACACAAGGCCCAAAGCTTAGATTTTAATGGGCGCCTGTATGGCCCTGGCAGAGTGACAAGGTAATGGACTCCATAGTTTTGTTCTGGTGGCCCAATAAAATGTGGGTCCATTATTTGGGTCTTTAGGACAAACGATAATCAGGTTCAGGCTTGTCCCTTGACAGCGACGAAAAGGTAGTCGAGGTAGACTGGTCGGTACAGAATCCCTTGTCCTGCGCCCAAATAAAACAAATACAATTCCTGAAGAAACAACTTAAGAAACCCCAAGTAGTTCGGAATGTTTGTTTGCAGATTTTTTTCCTTTTTCGTGGGGAAGATATTGAATCAGCTGGAGGCTATGGTTTCGTTTCATCGTCTACCTTATCTTGTCCATAGCCTTGGTTGGTCTTAAATATTTTCTACTCTCAAAGCACACAGTTCACAAGCTAGGAAGCCAACATGCCGGATTTCATGGCTACCACTTCAACATCTTCACTAGCTCTACACTGCAAATCCTTGAACAGAACAGACCTCAACTTCGCTTTTCTATCGTCATCCCGACGACCCACATCCAGGAAATCGTTCAACTCCGCGAGGTACAACCAGATTGTGGTAGACGAAGAAGTGGACAGGATTAAGAGGCTTCAAAACGGATCGGATGTGCGTGGTGTGGCCATGGAAGGTGAGAAGGGCCGAAGGGTTGATCTCACACCACCGGCTGTAGAAGCAATTTCGGAGAGTTTTGGTGAGTGGGTAATTGACGGTCTGAGCAAAGAAGGTGCAGGCAGAGGGCGTGTGGCTGAGGAGGAGGATGTGAGGGTGTCTCTTGGCCGAGACCCTCGCATATCTGGAGCGCCACTGAGCGTGGCTGTGTTTTCTGGCCTTTCCCGTGCCGGGTGCTTGGCATTTGACATGGGACTCGCAACGACGCCCGCTTGCTTCATGAGCACTTTGCTCCCTCCATTCACTTATCATGCCTCGATTATGGTACATGCACTTGCAGTTAACTCTTGTTTGGCTTCTTCTAGCTTCTTGAGTCCTGACTTGACTGCTGCCTGACCGATATCTGTTCTTCTTCTTCTCCTTAAAAGTTGAAACCCAGTAAGGAAAACGCTGAAGTAAGTAAAATTATTGTGGTGCAGATGACGGCTTCTCATTTACCCTACACAAGAAATGGGCTGAAATTTTTCACTCGCAAAGGTGGGTTGAAGTCGACGGAGGTGGAGAAGATATGTGATCGAGCAGCTTTCAAGTATGCCAACAGGCTGGCCAAGGTATCAACCACCTTGAATGCTCTTGCTCCGGCCAGAGTTAATTTCATGAGTACGTACGCTGAGTACCTCCGTGAAATCATTAGGAAGGAAGTGAACCATCCACTCCACTATGAAACTCCGCTTCAGGGATTCCAGGTTCTCTCCTCTCTCTCTCTCTCTCTCAGGTTCATTTTGGAGTTTGCATGGATGAGAAGTACAATGTAGGGGACGTTATTAATCGTCAAGTGGGTAGGCTGTGGGCGACGTTAGGTCAAACATTTCCACTCCTGTCCTACGTCAGCCCAACCATCCCAACTCAGACAGACAGACACCAACTATTCAAATTTTTACTGTGGTGTAGACTTAGCTAGTCATGGATAAGGCCAACCTAGGCCCACTTCTAGAATTGGCCCCCTAATTAGGTTCGGGCAGTCCATGACCAGCTCCACCCGCCTACACCATACCTTAGTCCCTAACCCCAACTTGGGCTAAGGTGGGCTTTCTGGGCTGGGTTGCATTAGTGAACAGGCTTGGGTATAGGTGTCAACTCAAATCCAACAAGAATTGGGTCAAGAAAAATTCTCTAAGCCCAGGACCATTTGAAGCGTGATATCAGTTTGGGTTGGGCGAGATGGGGCTTGAGTTGGGCTTTCAGAAGCTGCAACCTTGCTATATAAATGAGCAAATCAAGTCTAGTCTTCGTTTTCTTGGGTCTGCCTCTATGATGGTTAACTAAAATTGGGCTACGTTTGCACTTGAAATGCAGATAATTGTGAATGCTGGGAATGGTTCAGGAGGATTCTTTACATGGGATGTGCTAGACAAGCTTGGGGCAGACACATTTGGCTCCATAAACCTTAAACCAGATGGAATGTTCCCCAGCCACATCCCCAATCCAGAGGACAAGACGGCCATGGCCCTAACTAGAGCAGCTGTGCTGGAGAACTCGGCAGATCTGGGGATTGTCTTCGACACTGACGTTGATCGAAGTGGGGTGGTGGATTCTGCAGGTAGGGCAATCAACCGTGACAGGCTTATAGCTCTCATGGCGGCCATCGTCTTGAGGGAACACCCTGGTACCGCCATCGTCACCGATGCTCGTACCAGCATGGCCCTCACTCGGTTCATCACCGGCAGAGGGGGAAAGCATTGCATGTACCGTACTGGCTATCGCAACGTCATTGACAAGGGCATTCAGCTTAACAGAGATGGCGTCGACACACATCTGATGATAGAAACTTCCGGCCATGGAGCTTTCAAGGAGAATCACTTCCTTGATGATGGTGAGTTATCATGCATCCGAAACCAAAATTAATGAACTCTAGCTCCACCATCTGGAGAGAGGCTACTGCGGTGTGAGCATATGCAATGGCTGCAATTAATGTCTCCATGATAATTGTCCGAATATCTCGTTTCTTCATTAGTCCTCTTTTGATCTATATATTAATTGTAGGAGCTTACATGGTGCTGAAAATCATCATTGAAATGGTGCGCATGAAGCTCAGTGGATCAGGAGAAAGTATTGACCATCTTATTAAAGAACTTGAGGACCCAGCAGAGACCATAGAGCTAAGGATGAACATACTATCTGAACCTAGATTTGCAAAAGACAAAGCAGCAGAAGCGATTGAGACATTTAGAAAGTACATAGAGGTTTTTTCTTCTCTTCATATTACCAATGCGATTATGGATTTAATTTCTTTCTGTTTTGATTCAAGAGCAGCCTTACTAGGTCAAAATTGCAGCTTATATAAATTGTATTGAGCTACTACCTAGTGGCTATTCTCAAACGATTGCTTGTGTATTGACTTTTCCAATACTAAATAATGTTCTATATATATGCCATGAAAACTGTTGTAGGCATTGTTTCTCAAGAGTGCCCATTAAACTAAGATCTAAATGCAACTCCAGAACCCAATTTGGAGGAGAACCCAAGGACCCATATGTCAAGATTAATTGAAAAGTATCCATCCAGAATCTGCTCATTTCCTGTTTTGTTTTTTGACTCTATTCAAACATATTAGATGTAGCTCAAAGGGGGGAAATTTGAACTCTATGCTTGAATGTTTTTATCATCTCACTACTTCTTGGTAGTATCATTCACCATGCAGTGAAAACCTTGAATCACTTGCAACTATAAGCAGAACTTGTCTATTTGCAGGAAGGACGGATTAATGGATGGGAGTTGGATTCCTGTGGAGACTGTTGGGTAAGTGAGGGCTGCCTTGTAGACTCGAATGATGAACCAACTTCTGTTGATGCTCACATGTACAGGTGAGTACCTGCAAAATAGATATGATTTTGTCTTTTCAACTCTCAAAGGAATCATTCAACCTAAAAGCTTAAGCTGTTAACTGAGCTCCTTATATAGGGTTTTCTCACTCATAACTTGTGTTGAAATTTAATTAATTATAATGGAGATGACTAGGACTAAACCATTTGATCAACCAAGCTCTAATTTCTCAAGGAACCATTCACTGTTAATTAAGCGAGGCCCCTGAATAGATTTTTATCTCTAACAACAACCACGAAATTATGGAAAATCCATGAATTTCATTATATTTTTCCCTTTGATCCCATTCTCTTGCTTTGTATTAGAAGTTTAATGGTTGTGCACAAACAGGGTCAAAGTTTCAGACCAAGAGCATGGACTTCATGGCTGGGTACAGCTTAGACAAAGCATTCACAATCCAAACATTGCTGTAACTATGCAATCCATAGTTCCTGGTGGCTGTCTCTCCATCACAAGAGCCCTGCATGATCAGTAAGCTATACTGCTTCATTCCTTTCTGTAAGAAACATTTTCCATTTCTGGACCCATAACATTTGCTCATATGTTTTCAGGTTCTTATTGGTAAGTGGGATGGATATAATCCTGGACATTTCGCAGATCGAAAAGTTCATAAAAAATGGACATCTAGGTTGAGATGGATGCAGTCCACCATGACAGAACAGACTAATTAATATTGTAAAACAAATCATTAGCAAAAAGCTTCATCAAATCCATCCAGTCAGAAGAAATTTAATGTACAGGAATAGTGACAGGCAAGCCAATTACGGCATGCAACAGAAAGAAACTAGAGAATTTCTGTCCAAATTGCTTAGTGTGTTAATACAGAAATAAATGAAAAAAAAATAAAAATACAACATGAGAGTATAGAAATCTTGACTGTTCTTTAATGGATCCCAGCATTTGGCAACAGCTTAAAATTAAAATAAACATTACACATGGTCTATTTATATCATGGTTTTCAAAACATTGTTGACCCAGATGGTCAAACTATTTGACCCGGGAATGGATCACGTAACCTAGAATTTTCCATAAACAATTGACTCAATCAGAAAATCTCTGTCCTGATGGTTGAACCGCTAAAACATTCGACCCAGACAACAGTTTTTGGGTCATTTTTATTTAATGTTTGGACCAGATGGTAAACCATTCTACCCATAAACCGGTTGCCAGAATGGTTCCTTTTCCAAATCGATTTTTAAAACCTTGATTTATACACATCTTGTTTTCTTCAATTCTTATGTTATTCTTGCAAAAGGCCCAAAACTCGACGAGCCCAGTCAGATCCAATTTTACAAACTTACATAGCAGGCCCCAAGCTCGGCTCAAATTTTGTTAGATCTTAGTTGGCTGGGCTTATACTGCCCAACTAGGGGTTCTAGTTTTACTTGAGTTGGGTGGAGCCTCAGGTTGAGGACTGAATACCTACGTTGGGCCAGAGATCCACCTATTTAATGTTCGTTAAACAAATATACATTAGTGCCTAATGGCATTTTAAAGAATTAATCCGTTTGGTTCACAGTTGTATTGGAGTGGGAATTAAAATCCTTAGAATCAAAATTGGAATGGTCTATTCCCTCTGCTTGATTGGTTCAGATAGGAATCAGAATTGGCTGAAATGAGATTCTCAAACCCGAGGGAGGGAGTGGGAAGATCATTCCTCAAATCAAATGGGGAATGCTATTCTATGAGGAATGGGAATCAGATTCTGATTCTACCAAACTAAATGGTTGGATTCCAAACCCCTATTCCCACAAACCAAACGGACTAACTTGCTTCCACTTGGACCTATCACATGAGGCTTTGTTGCAATTTGCAAATGATTGCATGATATACTCTAAGACAACCTTGGAAGCCAGCCATGGCATTAAGGATATTCTAGCTAGATACGCCAAAGCCTCATGTCAAAGACCAAATTTCCAAAAATCGACAATGATGTTCTCAAAAAATGTTCTTAACAGATTTTAGAGATTGTTGACTAGGGCCCTGTTTGGCAATGTTTCCACCTGTTCCTATTCTTTTAGAAATTCTTGTGTTAGAACAAGAATTTTATTTCTTTCTCCTCGGGAATAACAGAGGTGTTTGACAAAATGTTTTTTTGAGAATGAATTTTTGTTCTATAAAAAAAGAAATGGCATTTGGATAATGAATTAAACTATTTCTTAATATGAACAAACAAACTCAAATGATGGAAACTCGGCATTTGTTAGAGATAAGTGTTGTCGGAGATTAGTTTGGATGAATCTAGCCAAAGCAATGATGAGTAAACCAGGTAGACGACAAGGAATACACCTACCTATTGATGTGAATCTGGCCAGAAATGTTGCCAAAGCTTTGTACCGTTCTCTTGCCATCCAGTTGTTGATGCAAAAAGAGCCAAAGGAGTTCTCTCCTTTGAGATGTGCAGTGGCAATGAGGTAGTGTCGAATGAATGAAAGGTGATTGTTTTAGGGCTTATTTCTATCATTTCGCATGAAATACCAAACATATCCCTTCTCTCACATGGGAATTGATGGAACGTATTTGTTAATATGCATTAACGTTGTGAGTCACCACGTTTAATGATCAAACAAGACCTAGGATTATTAGTATTCCAAGATCAAACAAAGTAGAGAAATATTTGGATGCCCTAAGAGAGTCACCAAAGGAACCTTCAGCAATGTCTTGGGTAGAATAAAACATAAACTGGGATGAAAAAGCAAAACCCTTTCAATTGGAGGAAGAATCACCCTTCTAAAGGCAGTAGTGGGAAACTTAGCCCAGTACCAGATGAACATATTTGGCATGCCAAAGGAAACAAGCAAGGAAATGGATAAACTGTAGTGGCGATTTTTATGGGGAAAAGAACAAAATAATAAACATTTTACTATAACAAAATGGGACAATGTTTGCTTGGATAAGGAAATTGGGTGGCCTAAGCTAGGCCTAAGAAAGATGACAACGGTAAATCAAGCAAATCTAATGAAAGTGGGCTGGAAAATCTTGAAAGACCCCAATAATTATCTAGGACAAGAAAATTTTTTAGAGCATAAAATTAAGAAAAATAGCTCGAGGGCTTGGAAAAAGATCTGCCAACAAGCCCATTGGATTCAAAAAGGATCAAATTTAGTAAAAAATTGGAAATAGTGAAAAGTGTAAATTTTGGACAGATAATTGGCTAGATCACAAGCCAATAAAGGATATGATAACCACAAATAGCCAATATTTGGATGATCAAAACCTAGACACCAAGGTCTGCGAATTTATAGAAAAAGATAATAGATCTTAGAATCTACATAAATTCTCAAGATTTAATTAACAAAATCTCTTCAATCTACATTCCAGTGAACCTTGAGAAGGACTCAGAAGTCAGAACAATGGGATTCAAGATTGGACAGAAACTTGACAGTTAAATCAGCATATAACTTGTTGAGAAATGACCATGCTTTGGATGATCCAGTTATTTTCCTATGGCTACTAATACTAAGGGTCTGTTTGTTTACTGAGAAAGGGATGAGAAAATGGAATATTTCTGAATGATTCTCTCTTTCTCGTGTTTGTTTGTTGGTAAATAGTGTTTTGGGATGAGAAACAAGAGGATGCGAGATCCCAAAATGAAGTGATCGGGATCGCACTAAAACAGTGCAATCCCAATGGGAAAGGAAAAAACTAAGAAAATTGGGCGAGCTTTATCAGAGTAAAAAGTCAACAGGGAATGATTCCTCTTCTTCCCCGTTCGGACCCCAAAGATAGAGAAGAATTTTTTGGCTTCGCCTGTTCATCATCGTTCTCCCTTGCTCGAAAACCAAGAGCGGCAGCTACCTCACACCGGCTTCACCCCCCACTCTTCTTCTCGTAATCTCATGAGGGAGAAGTCTTCAAAGTTACTATTCATTGGCATCTTCCTCTCGACTGCAGCGAACTAGAGTGGTGTGATTGAAACAGCCACTGCCGCTACAACTTCTAGTAGCAGCGGTAGTTTCGTTGCTTCGACCGACCATCCTCCCTCATCCTCTCCCTTTTCCTCTCTTTCCATCCCATTCCACCCTCACTTCTTGCCATTGAATGGCCGTTGGACACCTTCCCTGGCGAAAAGCAACAGTGGCCATTGTCCTAGTAGTGAATTCCAAGTGTCTTCGAAAGACTCCCCATCCAAGAGCTCATCGGGTCTTCCCTGATTTTCAGATCATACCCCCAACAATCTCTATGTTCGACGATGAATAAATAGCGACAAAGTTATCTTTTTGCTTTCTTATGCATTTCCCTTTGTAGCAGCGATCGAGAAGAAACAGAGAGGGTGAAAGAGGAAGGGGGTGAAGATGAAGGGGTAGCTGCCGCCCGCTGCTAGTTCACCACCTCTATCGAGAGCTCCGAGATGATGAACAGTTCAAAGAGGGGAGACAATACACCGGAGCGGGAGAAGGTTACTGATCTGAGAACTTCCACCGCCGACTCGCCGTGTCCAAACAAGGAAGATAAACAGTGCTGACCTCCTCAAGTTTCGGTTGAAAGAAAGAGAAGATGGACAGTCGTCTCTTCTCTATTCAGATGAAGGGGAGAGTGAAGAGAGAGAGGGAATGTCGAAGGAGAAGGAGGTTGGAGAAGGGGTTGTTGTAAATTACATGCATTTTTATATTTGAGAATGATTTTTCTCATATAAACTTTCTTGCAAAACAAACACTAGAAAGTGGATTTTCTCACGAAAAATTTCTTAGCAAACAAATGCATTATAACTAACTGAGAAAATAATTTTTCCTCTTCTTATCTCATCCTTTCTCAGCGCAATTTTCCCAGCAATCAAAGACACCCTAAATAAACTCCCTTCTAGGAAAAATCTTATAGAAAGAGAGGTATAAATGTTAGCCCTCTCACTGCTGCCCATCATGTGGTCGGATTAGAGGAGGATCAAGACTATATTTTTATTAAATGCCACCTGGCTACAAACAAGATGCTCAAGGATTGACTCAAACCCCCCTCCCCCTGGATGTGCTCTCTTCTCCAACTCCAGTCAATATCGTTTACAATCATACTTTTCACAAGGGAAACTTAGAGACCGGATGCTTCACACGCACATCGTACCATACATTGAGAACATCTCCCATACTTATAAGTTATTATTCATGGGAGATGTTCTCAATGCACGGTGGATGTGCATGTGAGGCGCTCCTGTGTGAGGAGCATACCCAGTTCCCGCTTATTAAGACTCGGCTGGCAGGTTACCACCATGTTAATATGGTTTGTGTTGGTTTTCCATTTGTATCCAAAAAAGACCCGAGAATCAAGGCCATTGATGTATTGTAGTGGCCCCACCAACACGTTACTTCATTCATTCAGCCCAGAGCTACGACATTGTGTAGAAAAAATGGATGGTGTATACAGTTGGTATGGCTTCTATTTCTTTGATAAATGGTATCAGCTCATTGCCATATAGGCGTTTGTACCAAAATGTTATTTGGTAAGTCTCTATAAATGTTTATCTTGGTTTATGTGTAATCCAACTGTTGGAGGAATCTTCATTTTAATGTTTTCCTCAACATCAAGGTATTTATTTAATATTCCACTTATGTGATGTCTGATTGTCAACAAACAAGAAAAAAATGTTTACCAATTACTTTTCCTCGATTTTAAAGACAAATCAAATACAAATACTTTTTAAATAAGCAGAAGCCATACTAAACAT